ATAAACCATGTCAAAGAAGGAAGGAAGGATGGGAGGGAGCGAGGGAGGAGGGAGGGCGGGAAGGGAGGAGGGAGGGAGGGCACAAATGGATGGAAGAGGACGCAGGGAAGGAGAAATAGCAGCAGCCCGTGAACTTCCATGTTACCCCCACAAATGAACCTGTGTAGTCCTCACATCAACCCTCTGAAGCAAGTAGTGTTTTATCTCTCTACACAGGATTGAATTTGCCCGCAATGATGGTCATACCTTACACGGTAGAGAGAGGACTTCAGATGAGCCAGCGGACTGCAGGGCCTGGATGCCTGTCAGGTTACTTCTCCTCCACAGTCATGGATCCCGAAGCCCCACCCCCGACCCTGATTCATCAGTGAAATCACGGAGTGAATGAATCAAAGGAAGCATGCCAACTATCTCTGAAAAAGAGGCCTGAAATGAAGTGGGAGAGGAAGGTACCATGATTCCTGCTTGACCTTGATGATGGGGAAGAGGATTGTGAGCAAACTGTGTAAGTTTTCTAGCATTTACTCTTCCATTCCTAACTCATGAGTCTCAAGTTTCTTTCTTCTCCCTCATGGGGAAGGGCTTAGTGAGCCATTGTAGGCAATGATTATTTGAATGAGCACCTCCTGGAAGGCATCCACAACTGCCTGTGAATTAAGAGTTACTGTCACCATTTTGTTGAAGAAGCAACAAACTCGTCACCAATCGTCACAGACTGTGTATGTGGTTTAGGCAAGAGCTGAGGCCACGCCTGCTCGACTTCCTCCTCTGCTGTCGGGCAGGGAGAGGAGCCTGGCATCAGGCCAAGGGACAGGAGTGGGACAGGAATCGTTGTGGCCTACAGAATTCCGTAGCCTGATCTTAGGTGGCTCGAGGAGAACCATCGGCAAGAAGCTGAACTCACAAACACACACAAACACTCTTGTCTTTCATTTAATTCTTTATTTGAACATCAAATAGACTGAGAAAATTGTTTACAGGTGCTTGAGCTTCCCTGTGGATTCTTTACGTTTCAAAGGTGCAAAAAGAGGTTTACAAGTGTGTTTCATTTAACAAAGCAAAGCTGCGACAAAAGAGATCACATCAGTAATAGTGTACATCAGCAAAAGGGTGTGTTAATTCATCAAACACAATTTGGCGGTTGAGCTTTTTCCCCATAAAACAAGAGCTCTACACTGAAGAATATGTAATGCACAAAAAGCATTGTTTATAAGCTGTGAGAGAACATAAACTGGCATAATGTCACATATTAATTCAAGTCTCTATGACCAATGACCTCTCTGTGAATGCAAAGGGGTCCGAGTCTTAGGCACCTGCTCATGGGGTTGAATTTTCTTTTCGGGGTGCACAGCTCTGTACAAACACACTGACAATGGATTTGGAACATGGCAGCATTTACACATTTTAAAAGTTCAGGCACATTTGGATGCAAAAAAAAAAAAAATAAAATTTTTTCTTGAATCTCTGAAAGACAGTGCAAAATTGAAGTGCCATAATAGAGGCAGCAATTACTTAAAAAACGATTTTAAATGAGTCAGAAAAAGGCTATACTCACTTTAATCCAAATGGAAAGGAAATGAAATTAGAAACAGAGGAATCACACAAATGAAAAGATGGCTATTTGGGACCACAGTTAAATTCACTTACTCGAGTTGAGAGTGAGTACGTTTACAGGGAGTCTGCTGAGGAAGTGTGCAGTGCAATCTGAATCATCCTCCCAAGACTCGGGCAGAAGAGAATTATGGTTGCCTTGTAAGCTACAGTATGACTCTATTTGCCTTTCCAATAACTGGCTTCTTAAAGCAGGTTTGCCTGTGAATAGGAGACATCACTATGGTCCTCCTGATCATTTCTGGTATTCACAGTTCATCTCAGAGTGAGCAAGTATGAATAAGAAGGAATTTGAACTGCTATTATGTAGGGTATGCTAAAGCAGTGGCCAAAATCAATGGCCATTTCAGTGTATAAGATTTTCATGTGAAAACACCTTCATATGATTGAAAGTAAAACGTCAGTAAATCCCTTATTGGTCCCATTCCCAAAGGCATGGGATATGGCATGGTGCAACTTACTAGCGAAGCTACTAGAGCAATCTCATCAAAGACTACCCCTCCTTAGGGGGCTGGGTTTTGCAACCAAAACAGGGTCTTCTCTTTGGATGAGCTAGCCTCTCTGATTGTCTCTGATTGTCACATGACAGCGTGACAGAATCATTCAAGAAAGCCTGGAGCTAGGCACTTTTTCTTCCTTAGACCTCAAGCTGCTATTTTGGAAATGGTCATCACAGCTTACACTCCAGGTGCGAGTATCGCTCTACCTACCACAAATACTTTCAAGACTCTTCTTCACTAAAGACATTCCATTGAAGACAGTTTCCATTCTCCAAATTCCTCAACCCACTTGCCCTCAAAACCCCAACCCCCAGGTGGATCATGTCTGTCAAATTGCCTCAGAGTGGGGGAAACCCAACACGTTCCCCATACTCAACAGCAACGTCAGCTGCTAAGTGTCAGCTGTCCACTAGTGGCACTTCAGATAAGAATAAAAAGAGACTTATAAAATGATTAGAGACTCCTGGGCTAGCATCCCAACCATCTGGTGCTCTCGCCCATCACAAGAGTAGTAGCATCAGAACACAGATACAAACGCATTAGATGAATAATGTAAAACCCTCCACTGTATTATTGTTTGGATTTAGCTGGTATTACATCACCTATAGTCCTAGAATTTTTTTGTTTGTTTTTATTTTTTAAAAAGAAAATTTAAGTATAAACATTAAAAAGAACCCACTGACCCATTAGCTACTGTCCAAAAATATTACTACTGATATTTTGGTAAAGCAAAATTAGCTGCCCTGAATAATTTTCCTTTTTAGGCATAATCTCTGCTACATAAGATTGTCTATCATTCAATATCCAACAATAGGCATCTGTATTAGTGCTATTTTATCTACTGTGGATATAAAAGTTGATATGAAATGTGATCTTCATTTAAATGAACAATCACCAGGCCTTAGGCATCAATGACTGCATACATGGTAGCTATACAAAAATCTACATGTGTTGTGTTGGTTTTGCATGTTAACCCAGTCAAATTAAATCCAGAACAGAATTACTACATTCAATTGTCTGATAAACAAGCATTGCAATTTCAAAAAAATATATATTATACTATATAAGGTGCTTCTTTAACAAAAACAACAAAAGAATTATGTTCTAAACATGTTCTTAATGCGGATACATAAAATTGTCTCCAAATTTAGTTGCACATATGTGAAATAAAGTTGCTGGCCCTCCCAGGTTCCCAGTCCTTTGGTGACCCCTTACTGGGCCATGAGAAATGGTTGAGAAACCCACTTTTTGAAAGAGGCATCCCCAGTGAAGCTCTAGAAACCTGTCCTGCAGGGGGCTGTCACATGACCTCTCCACTGGGCCCAAATTATAGACAATGAGCTCCCTGGAGGAAGCCAGGCCTACTTTTCAGCCAAGAGCAGAGCCCTACTCATGCTCCAGAAGCAAAGGCCAAAGGAAGGCTCCCTCGGATTGGTGTGAGCTTGCTTTCTAGCCTCCAAGTTGAAGGATCCTGTGACCCGACTCTGGCCTCAGTCTCCAGGCTTGGGAATGGGCTCAAGGGGCCACCTGCCAATTTCTGGGTGAGCTCCAAGCAACCCAGGGCACTGACAAGTCCACCCACAGTCAAGCAGAGCTGGTGCCCATGCCTGGCCCTCCCGGCTCCAGAATGGAAAGGGCCAGTCGTAGGCACGCTCCAGCTCCTTCGGCTGCCCCCAGCAGGCCCACATGAGGACATGCAGATGACCAGGCCACCTGGCTATCCTAGGTAGCCCCCCTCCACGCTGTGGGGTCTGGCAGGCGCTCTGCCGAGGAGAGCTGCGTGTGGCAGGGCCTCCCTGAGACTCACGGTTCTACCAGTTTCTGCCCTGCTTTCCCTCTCGTTTCCAGTAACCACAGTAATCAGGCCCTCTGACACTTGTCCAGGGCCTCAGGGCTAACGCAGGCCCCAGGGCCGGTCATCTAAACTGCCCGGGGCCTACACCTGACAAGTTCCTTGCGCAGTTACTTCAGGAAGATCCGAGCAGAGCGCCCTCTGCTGATGAGTGCGAGACCGAGTCAGGACTGGTCCTGCAGAGGACTTAGGGGGCGGAGGGGAGAGCTGCTTTTATGAAATGAAGACTAAAGCAAAAAAAGCGAGAGCTTATCCCTCTCGGGGAAACTGGTATATGTGATGGTGACTTCACTGGCATCAACTGGGTGTTTTCCATGGGTCCACAAGAAGCAAGAACTAACTGGAACCCATGAACTTAGTGGTCTCAAAAGTCCCTGGTAGAACATTCAGCAAATCTGAAAGAAAGTACCATGTATGAAGTTGACAAAATGTTGACAATTAGGGGATCTTCCTTCCCTGGCTCTCTTGTACTCCTACAGGGGAAGTGGGTAGACCCAATCTCCCACTACCGCAATGCAAGAGATGCAAAGTTTTAAGGTATTAGTTAAACAAAACGATCACTCGCTGTAGGGATACAAGACTGTGCACAAGGAACCCCAGACCTAGCTTTCTCCAAGCCAGCAAGTCAAAGAGCCCATTTCCACTCCTTCCTGGGGCTTCTTTTTAGATCCATGAAAAAGTGCTTCACCGAGGTGAAAGGTCTGGTTTCCAGACCAGGGTCTCAACAGGTAGCTTAAAAGCACAGTCGGCTGAGCCCTCCCTGGTAGTCAGGAGCGCAGCTATGAGAAGCTACAGGAATCCTCAGGCTTAGTTAGAAATGTGGCAAAGAGAGAAAGGGAACTGTGGCAAAGAAGTTAGCCCTGGAATCCCTTGGACTGTTCCTGGAGAAGGCGTGCCACTAAGAACTGAGCTAGCGAATGAACGGCCAGGCTGGCGTAGCGAGCCGTGGCGGTGGCTGCATGCTGCCGTGCGAGTTACAGTGGTGCGTGATGTCGGTAAAATGCTGCAGGGATTCTCAGAGGCTTGGGGGAGCCGGGAGCTTCAGATTGTGGCGGGGAAATTCTCTGGCTCCCCGGGGATATAATACGTTTGCAAGGAACTCGAGGAGGTGGAGCCGGTGGTGGGCAGCTGGCTCTGGCTCAGCTCCTCCGCCGGGGGCCCGTGGCGGCTGGGGGCGTGCAGGCGGTGCGCGTCCAGCATCTCCAGCAGCAGGTCGTACAGCGGCACCACGTTCTTGCACTTCATGCTGTACAGATGCTCCATGCCTTTGTTACTGTGGGCGGGAAGACAGACAGAACCCCTTGAGGCCACCCCAGTGCCCAGAACTGTCAGCTGTCCGGGAAGGGGCAGGAGGGAGAACACCAGCGTGGCCGTGTCACTGTGGGCTGAGTTTCCTTCCTGCTTAGGGAACTATTTGAGGGTCTTCTAGGCTTGGGACTTCATTCCCTCATCACCATTCAAGCTAAAAGGGAGTGTAGGCGAGCTAAGGCCAGCGAGGCGGGCCGGTGTGCTTTCGCTTGTTTTTCGTATGTAAAGCAGTTCCAGAACTTTCCTTGTTTAAAAACGTTGGTGGTCTTTCCCGCCTAACTCAGAAGGAAGTCTAAATGCTTCCCATGAATTTCTTTCCAAGAGTTTAGGGGGGCGGTTTCCACTCATCTCTTAGGGTGGGGCCCCGCGGGGCCCCGCCCCCGCCCCCACCACCTTTAGCCACAAAGGTGTTGATTCTGTTCCCCGAAGGCCCTATATGCTGTCCTTCCACACCACCGTCCACACCGCCGTCTCTGCCCTTGTTTTCTCTGCCAGCCTGTGCTTCCAAACCTGATGGTCAAAGGCGACCTCCTCTGAGGGGCCCTCCCCGTGGCCATCGCCTCCAGCCCCCACAGCTGCTTCGTGGTCCTTTTCTCTTGACTGTTCCCCTCCCGGAAGTCTCTACCCGACGCCCGTTTACCCTTATCAGTGTGCATGCGTGCTGCATGCTTATTCTTCAATGATTGTTCACAAACACACCTGCACACATGTTCTCAGCAGACATGCTTATTCTATGTACGTATTGTGCGTATAGTCTTCTTTGTATGTCGTCTTATTATCCTGCGCCTATGTGTGTGCTTGTTTATTCTGTGTCTGTATGTGTATTCTTCTACGCATGCATGTATCTGCATGTTTCATCTGTGTCGACACACGTATATTTGTTCTACACATGTTTTCATGTGTGTATGTGAGCAAACGTGTCTGTACACACATGTTTATGAACGTATTGTTATGTTTATGCTTCTGCTCATTCTGTATGCCTGTCTTCTGCACACGTGTGCATGCCTTTACTCTTTACTCTCCTGTGACCGCATTAGCTATGTCTGATCTTCACGTGCAGAGGTACGGATGTGTGTTTATTCCCATCCTCTCAAGCGCACATTCACACAGACACACTCACACCAGCACACTCAGTACAAGTTCCATGAAGCACAGAGATTTGTCCATTTTTTAGGCTTTGACCAGTGCCAAAACCATGGCTAAACATGACTCAGGAAGAGGGACAGATGGACTTAGGAAAATGTGGGCTTTCTCCTTGGATTACCCTCGTCTCCTGAGCCCACCACCAGCCAAGCTCTGCTTTGTAATCACTGCACCCCTGAGGGGGTGGGGAGGAGTGGAGAACACAGCTGTCTAGTTTGAAACAGCCTTTAAAGAGTTATTGTCATGAGTAGGCAGGACCAAGAGAATTTCCTAGAAAATACTGGCATTTTCCATAGGGCGAACTCAGCACACCTTGGAGACATGCCAGGAAGACAGGGCATCAGAGCTGCCCAGCCCTGCCCCCAACCTCCCCATCTGCACATACAGGTGACATTTGGTTTATTGCATTTTTTTTTTAATTTAAAATTTTGTTAATTTAAATGTCCCCTCAGCCCCCCAGTTCTGACACTGTCTTCCTCATGCAACCTAATGATTCACATCTACAGTCAGCTGAGAACTGATGCTAAATTCTCTGAGCAACAGCATATGGCTGAGGCCAACTTTAATAAAACGGCTCTATGATTTAGATCAGCTGTAAGGAGGCACCAAAATATTAGAGTGTGTGTAGGTGAATGAGAGAGAGAGACAGAGAAGGGGAGAGAGACAGAGAGGAAAGAGAGAGTGGGGAGACAGTGAGAGAAGCAACTTTTCCTCAGCTTTCACACAGCGACAACAGAAGCTCTACAAGTCTCCTGCCACCCTTGACTGTGTGGCCAGTTGCCGGAATACGAGCAAGGCCTGTATATTCAGTGCAAATACATCTGGCATTAACTAATTAGGCTGCTAATGCTGATGAGCAGCTAATGGGTTTGAAAATTAGCGGTCCCTACCAACACATAAAAACTTTCTCTGGCAGTACATGGCTCACTGCGCACATGCAGTGGAAATTCCGAGTGCAGTGGAAATTCCGAGCTCGGAGCTCTGGGTAACAGCTAATGCATTTTCTTCAAGGGAAAGGTTACTTTTTCATTCAGAAAAATGGATACATGATGAGCCAGCCCCTGTTTCTTTTCAATATTCAGCAAAAGAAACAGATGGAAAGTACTGAAAATGTAGACCCCAAGGGCAACTCCTGCTTTACCTGGCCGATGTCAGACCTTCACCGGGAAAGATAGGGAATGCTGTTCATGCACTGATCACTCAGTAGTAATATTGTGAACATCTCTGACCCACAAGGCTTCGGGCATGGTGTGGGATACAAAGACAAATACATTTATCTTCTTACGATGCAAACAATTTGCATAGTTGTCTACAGAAAGGGTGGTACCTGGGACTTTCATGGAATAAACTTCTTGCCATTAACATAGAGTCTCCAGGTTTAAAGGGCTCTTGAAAATTAATCAAACTCCTTCCCTCATTACCAATAACAAAGGGACTCTTCCATGCCTAGGTTCTGGAGTGAAGTCAAGATTCTAGAAACTTCATCATGCCTGGGTCCCTACCCCTCCAATGTCACTGCTTCCTCTCACTGTTAGGAGCTTCTTGGACTAAAGCATCCACCAGTTACTTCAACTCCTCCCTCAGGTTGAATCCCATGACAGGAATGGCACTACCAAGCTTCTGGCCACCAAGCCACATGGCTATTTAGAACTATGTAGAGCAGAAATCAGGCCATTTTTGTTTTCAACCACACAAAAGTTTTATCTCCTCAATTTATGTCCTTCCTTAGCACATAGAGTACCGGATAGTAACTATGTGCTGAGCCCTGAGCTAGGTGGTACTGGGTACTCAAAGAAAGCAAGACCAGTTGTCCTAGAGTTTACAGTCTAGGGGCAGGAAGGTTATAAAATGGGTAATAAGTATCAGGAAGAACAGGTTGCAAATCCAAGCCAGGTGTCAATGTCAGGACATGCTTCCTGCAAGGTCTGATACCGGAGCTATGCTAGATTCGTCCTCTGGTTAGATATAATCACCTCTGGGCCATGGGTCCATAGCCCTGGACTCTGGTTTTATCATGTGAGTTCTTAGATCAATGGCATGTTAGTGGACATGGCCTAACTGAAAGGCTAAAATGCATTTGCCCAAATAAGTTTACTTTCTCATGCCTCTGCCACGTATATAAGGACATGTCCCAGACAACCTACAGGGACGAGGAAGACAAGAGTCACCTGGAGCAAGTGCGGCAGTCACCCGGCCAACCTACGGCCTGCAGTTTCGAGCAGAGGCTTCCAGTCTTGATTAGCTTGCACGAGTGACCCACTTGCAAGAGTGAGCCCCGCCAACAGCACTGCCCAGACAATCTGCAGCCCAAAGAGACCCCACCCCATGACTCATAAAACAGTTGGTTAGGACTGCAGCTCAGACTCCAAGGAAGTCCTAGAAAGCTCAGTAGGGACTGTACCCTAAGAAGTTACATAATTACCATGAGAGGATTTACTCTTGTATCTAAAAGCAAAGGAAATCATTTCAAGGTTTCGTGTAGGAGGGAACAATATGACCAGAATTGGTGTTAGAACGATCGCTCTTGTGGATAATGGGTTTGAAGGGGTCACCAAAGGCAGGAGCACCGCTGGGTGGCTGCTGCAGAAATCCAGAATGGGGGTGACTGGGATTCGAACAATGGCAATTAGATTAGGGGTGACAAAAGGGATTTGGGAAGGTTACCTGACTCCATCAGGCATCTGAACGGAGAGCCTTTCATTCAAGATTTCTAAGTGTAAATGGGGAGCATATGATACAGGGAGAAGAATGGGGGTGCCTGGGGCCTCCAAAAATGGGTGCTCACAGACTTCCCCAGATGGGAAGGGACTGAGTGAATGACCAAGCATTGTCCTCACCCCGCAACCTGCACACCCCTGTCCTACCGCTAAGACGTTGCCCAGGCTGCCAACTGTCACTTCCTCCAGGAGACGCTGGGCCCTTGCCCCAGGCCCAGCTGAGTCTGACGCTCCCACTGTCTTCCCACAGCATTTCTGCTCATCGTGTGCCCGGCTCTGTCCCAAGGGCATTTTCTATGCCCAGGCCTTGGGCCTTCCTGGGCTGGCTGAGACCTGTTTGGGGCTTGCTGGCATCGCGGGTCTCCCGGGGGCCAGAGGATGCCTCACCTCATGTGCCGGATGTGGGAGAGGATGAGGAGGAGCTGGGCCAGGCGACGGTGCTGCTGCTGCAGAGTGAGGCCCGCTTTGGCCATCAGGTGGATCAGGGTGTCTGTGATCTTATCCAGGACACGGTGGATGTGGTCCCTCTCTTCCAGAGTCTTCAGCGTGCTGGACAGAAACGTGTACACTCCTGGATGTGCAGAGAAGAGAGAGGCTCAGACAGGATGAGGTCTTGGAGGCTGGGGGTCTGTGCGGCAGGAATGCTGCTCCAGTGCCTGCCCCCCTCTTCCCGCACAGTAATGAGGAAACTGGGGTTCAGGCAACTACGCAAAGTCCCGGCGAATAGTCATATCTGTGAAACTCACGTGGCCTCTGCATGGAGGCCAACTTCCAGGACTTGTCATTAAGAGTGCTGGGAAGGCACTGTCCGCCTCGGGGGCCGTGACAGCAACTGTGCAAACCTTGGCTGACCGGCCTGACGCCAACACCCCCCACCCCATTAACTGACAAGCCCCAACCAGACAACATGATTGTTTCTTTTCCCAGGGAAACTCGAAGGGCTGCGAGACGCGTGAAGCTGCTCAGATAACTAACTCCAGGGAGGAGGCTGAGGCGGGAGGCCCAGGCCTGGACTGAACAACTGCGCACTACAATAGGGACTCGAGAAAAGCAGGACACTCTGGCCAGGTGCACAGAGAGAGAGAAAGTGATTTGCCAAGTGATTGACAGGTCATTTCTCCAGGGAGCATTTAATTTGCTGTTACATTTCGGGTCAGGTTTGGGGGTCTTCGTACTTTTCATCCTCAGCTGAAAGGCTTATGTGGGAGGGGACAGAGGCCCAGGGGACCTGCCGTTTCCAAAGCCTTTCTTCTGCTAATAGAGTCTACTCTCGGGCCATGGGGAGAATGAAACCCCAGCTAGACAATAGGGTCTCTCTATTCTCCTGGAATATGAGCCCTCAGCTTTTATGGGGATGGGATATATGGAAAAGAGGAGGCAGAAATTCTTCCTTCGAGATGCTGGGAGGGTGAGAGGCTGGGAATGTGGGACTTGTGAGCGTCATCTACAAGGGGGCTCCAGTCCCACTTATTTCACGGGGCCCTCATCTGTAGAGTGGAGCCGCTAGCAACTGCAGGCAGAGGTGATGGTGTCCAGGAGGTGATGTGGGCCCCAGCTCCAAAGTGCTGGTTCTTCCTTTTCCCATTTCACCTTGGAGCTTCCGGACTAGCCTTTCTAACACATGAGCCCATAAATTCTCCTTCTGCATAAGACAGCTGTCACTTGCAGCTGAAACAACCCCGACCATTCAACTAAGTTGTGTTCTAAAGGACCAGAGGTCAGTGAGACCAGAAGAGGTGAGAACTGAGTACAAGAGGAGGAAGGGAGGGAAATAACTTAAATAACTTATCCTGGGGCCACAAAGACAGCTGGGCTGTCAAGCAAGCACCCCCAAAATCAGCTCCGTCTTCCTTAATCACACCATCTTGCAGGGAGCACACCAGGTGGCATTTATCCAGCCGATGCATGTTAGCAACATGTTCTCTGTCTTCCCTCTACCCAGCCCGCTGAGCCTCCCATAAATATCTTTCTTGCTCCCCACCCCCAGTTGTCCTTACTGGTGCCTCTAAGCTCAAGACCCCCAAGTATGTCCGTCCCTAGGTTCTTACTAGGAGGTGCTGACGAGTCAGCCTCATGCAGACAGGGAGGTGGAGAAACACCCGCACAGAGGAACTCAGTAAACAGATGTCATCACCCAGAATGGAAAGTGGCTAAAGTTTCAAACAAACACCAGCACCAGAAAGGTCAGAGCTTGCCTTGCAGACCACTGAATAGAATATGGTTGCTTTTGGTCACCTAGAGGCAATTTGGGAGAAGAAAGAGACGGCTGGATCTCATGTTCCGGTTGAGCTGAGGCAAGTCTGCCTTGGGGTACCCTGGAGTAACAGGTGGCGGGGAAGACGAGCGGGAGCCGGGCTGGGGTCAGGGCAGCGTCTGTGGAGCAGAGCGGCCTGCCTCTTGCCACGCCTGTCAGGGCCTGGCCGCGGTGGGTCTCCCGCAGGCCTGCTCTGGCAGCCTGTCCTGGGAGGCAGCCCAGGCCACAGAGCTGAGTCAACCCAAGTTGGATGATGCGTTTTCCACCGGTTTCCTTTTTGTTACCACCCAGGCTGACAAACTCATGCACCAAAAAGGCTGTTCTTGTTCAAAGAAACCACAGAATTGAGGCACAAACAGCTTCGAAGGTGACACTGTGCGCACAGGTTTACAGTCTGTGGCTCTCGGTCTCAGACATGCCCAGACAAGCTGAGGCCAGAGTGGGGCGAGACTGGGGCTCCCGGCTGCCTCTGGCCTGGACACTTTCTCTGGGCTATGGCTCCCTGCCCACCTCCTCCCCTCCCTGGCCGGACGGTGCTTGCTGCTGACCTACTGTGGGCTCACACCATGTCACCTCACAGGGACGGCGAGCTGCGCTTTCTGTTAAGCCTTCATGCTTTCACCAGCTGCTGCCTGTGGAGAAAGCATTTTCTTCACACCGACACTCGGGATGCAGGCCCTTCTCAGAACAAGACTGTTTTCCAGCCCTGCTTTGGCACCAACACATCTTATCTCTCTTCCTTGTCGGCAGAGCTTCCTAGCTGCGCAAAGACACCGAGAAATAAAAATATCGTCCCGTTGAAATGCCTGTAATTGACAACAGCAGCGATCATTCTGTGGGCTTTTCTAGCCAAATGTGGGCTACGTTTGCTACCTACTGCCCCATGGGAGCCCTTTGGAAGGAACAACAGAGATCCAGACTCCCGGGGGGGCTTCAGGTGCTCTGCAGGCCATTTCCATATCCCAGGTGGTCTCTGCCACCCCGCCGGCTGCACTGCCGTCCCCAGCAGCCCCGGCCCGTGATCAGACAGTGCAGGCCTTCAGAAATAATCTTGCAACAAGGCAAGGCTTTTGCAACTCTTGAGGCTGTTCCAAATCCCAAAGATGGAAAAAAACAATCTGTATGTCATTATCCAGGCCTGAAGTGTTGTTGGCAAATCCCAACTGAGTTTTCTGAATCTCGCAGCCAACACTGGGGAGATAAATGAAGAGATTTTGCAGAAATCTGGTGAGAGTAGGTGAACGGGACCCCCCACCCGCACCCCCATACTCAGGAGACCTGAATTCAAACACTCACTACCCCTGGACTTAAGCCCCCTGCTGCTTTTTTGTTCCCCATCCCATAGAAATGCTCTCTGGCCCCCTCACTTTTCCAGATAAGAATCTTCTGGCAGCCGGAAAAACTGGCGTGGCTACTGAGGTGCAGAGTTGCTGCCCTTGACCTTGAGGTAGGATCACCACCTGGGACGCCAGCATGCCTTGCCCAGGACCTCCACTGGGGGGCGCCGCTAACTGTTCCTTCAGAAGCGGATGCTGCGTCCTGGCGGGACCTCCCAGATGCTTGAGGATAAATTCTTCAAGCAAGAACACATTTTTTTCTTTTCCAAAAGGAAGAATGTGACAGTGGGCCCCGGGAGAGTCCTTCTGTCTATGGCAGCTTCACCAATAAATAAATAAATAAAATGGGATGACTCAAAGGAAAACAATAGCAAACTCCTCAAGTCCCCAGTGTGATTATTTTGGCCCAGAAAGCTGCCACTCAAACAAAATGGAGCTTCCCAAGCTTTTCTGGCTTTTCCTTATAGACTTGAGCTCCTCTGGCAGATCAGCCTTTTGGGTTTTCTGTGTGCTTGTCCAGAAGCGCCTCTGAGGCTGTGCCTCCCTGTGAAGCCGCCTTTCCTCCCAGATGGCCCTGTGCCATGGAAGGGTCAGGCAGCTTGAGATCGCTGAGGTCAGTCATGGAAGGCACTGCCAACTTCAGGACAGTCCCAACCCAGGAGGCCTTCTTGAATGTCCTCCTGAGTTACATCTACTAAAATAAAAAAATCTGTTGTGAAAATTTTTGACAAGACTGAGCACCAACACCCCAGTAGGCAGGTTGACTTGAAAGAGGGAAGTTTAGGTGCAGTAAGTGATGGGGAAATTGATTACCCTGCAGTCCTCTGTTAATGGACTGGGTCATATAAATTTTCAAAGATACACGTAGTTGAAGTGCCATCAGGACAGGTAGGTGGGGACCCCACAGCACATGACTGAATGCAGGTATTTAGAAGAGATGTAAAACATGTCTACACAATTTTTGAATCAACTATTCTAAAACAGAAGACATCAATGAAATATTGTTATGGCTGCCTACACGTTTTAAATAAAAAATAATTTTATGACATGAGAAATTTATTTTGTGTTACATATGAAAGCTATTTGGGCTTTGTGTCTTTCTGTCTTCCACTGAGATTTTCACAGAGGTTTCCCACACACTTTTTAATTGGCTTGTACATGTTACTCTATCTTTTTCCAACCCACCATCTCCAGCCCACCAACCTTTCCATTGCTGTCCACAGAATATGGTCTCTGAGGACTTTTTAGGTATTACAGATTGAATATGTGCCTGTATACATGGGCTGTTAAGATCGGATATATATTTCTATTTATTTTGGCCATTCTGCAATGGAATTACTTTGATGATGCACTTATAATAAAACCTTAGCTCATCTGCAAAATTTTCTTATTTCCTCACTTTTTTTGTGGGGGGGGGCTTTGATAGTCTTTGTTTTGTCTAAGCATGTTATCATTCAATTAATTTATTTCTCTCTTCTTAGCCCATAGAAATAGGTTTGGGTTAGTTTTCACATTTCCTTATTCAGGTTCCATCTCTACCTCTACAATTTCACAGAACTAATTTCTTGGCATGAAAGGCTTCTGACAGCCTTATGTCCAAACCTTCATTATAAACACATGTAAGTATCTTACTACTACTTTATTGTGACTTCAACTATAGTCAAACCTGGACATGTGCACTGAAATTGATATCATTTTTAAAAATTAACTTAATATTATTTCTTCTTTAGATGACAAGAAATTTTGTTGATTTTTAAAAAATTGATGTGTATCCATAAACAATTTCCTGTTTCCTTTCAGAGAGTCAAAAGGATCTGCATGCTCGATTATACTGGTAATGTTTGCTCTAAGATTTGTGATTCCCACACGTGACTGACTCAGAAGCTCCTGGAGTTTTCCAAGACGCAGCAACTGTAGACTGCAAGCTGAGAGTAGGTGCTGATATCTGTTCTTTTAAAAACTCCCCATTTCTGAGTCTGA